ATTCAACAGCAAGCAGACTCAAGGATGCAAAACATGGAGAATCAATTGGGGTAGATTGCAAAGGCTCTATCTGAGGAGTCCGAGAGATCCCATCCTAGTGACACAGAAGCAGAACCTGAGGAGACCAATAGGGGTGATCATGTGAGTGAGTCGGACTGCGAAGGTGGGAATATGATGGATGATACACTTCCTGATGCTTTTGAAGACCCTCTTATGTTTGAAGATGAAGAAGAAGATAATAGTGTCAAGTTGTTTTTCCAAGAATACAGGAAAAAGTTCGAAACGGTACAAGCTGTAACTGATGAAGTCACAAATCATTGGGATTTTCATACAGAAACCCCCCAGCCGTTTGATTTATCATTAGTCTCAACACCTGAGGAGGGAAAGGAGAAGATCAATCATGATGATGGTGCTACTGAGATAGGTTTGGGTATTGAAGATGAGTTGGGAAAAGATGATTACATGCTCCAAGAGAGTGAGGGCGAGTTACATGATGTTCATAATGAAGAAGTCCCGCTCCACAAGCAAGAATTCCCCTCTTGTACACATGCACCGGTCCACTCTTACGTGGTTTCAAGTATGGACCTCTTTGATTCACTCCTTGATGACGATATTCCTTTTTGTGTGGAGAATGACAACCTCATCCGGGAAAATATTGATAAGAACGATGTTAACGAGAGTTGGGATGCCTTCATGGGGAGTGTGATACACAGTCCGGAGAAGAGGTTGTGAATGTTCATGATATTTGTGAGGAAGAAGAAGACTTTTCTATGGTGCAGTTTGATTACGGTGTTGCTCCTACTCCTTGCTTGGAGACATGTTTTGAGCTTACGGTGATGCCTAGAGTAATCAAAGTTTTCACTCATGTTCCCTATCCACCTGAAAAGGATGAGAGTTTCATACTTCACTTCTGCGCTGATGAGGGTTATGAAGACCATATGCTGCCTACGTGGACTGAAGAATTTAAAGATCCGCGACACCTAATGGTATTTGTTGAGAGAATGCTGGAGACATTGATTATTAATGCACCACTGCAGTCTTTGCTATTTGAGAGCGTATGAGGAAGTTGCGTCGGGCAAACGACGTTAAAAATAGCGCTTCTTGGGAGGCAACCCAAGCTTATTTCTGCATTTTTTGTTTGTTTTTTTGTTTGTTTGTTTGTTTGTTTGTTTGTTTGTTTGTGTGCTTTCAGAAAACCCCCGGAAAAAAACCCAAAAAAAAAATCGGGGTGTTTTTTGGGTTTGTTTTTGTGTTTGTGTTTTGTTTTTGCAGCTCAGGGTCTTGCTTTGGGGATCACTTGACTCAGTTTAGTTCTGCACCGACCAGCACCTTAGGGAAGTTTTTATGACTCTAATAATCGTCTGTTTGTAATAATTGACTTGAGTTAAGTTGAGCACGCGTGACCCTATCCTCTTTACTCCCTTGTGCATAGTGCATTTTTGGTCATCGAGGACGATGCCAAAGTTTAAGTGTGGGGGAGTGAATTGGGCATTCGGGCAGTAGTTGCTACATGTGATTATTAGAGTTAGCATGCGCAGGGGTTAGTTGTATATTCATAGGAAATTCATGTCAAAATGTTTTTGAAAATTTTTCTTTAAACTGTGTCTTTGTGAACTGGCTAGAGTTTTGACTATGCTTTTAGAACATCTTTGAAGTGTTTAGGCTTAAATTGCTTGCATGATAACCTAGTTGTTGAAAGGATGAAGGCATTAGTCACCCATTGAATGAATTAACAAAGTTCCCATTTGACCTGAAAAAGACCCTTTATGAGAAGCCATTTTGAGTCTGACCGTTCTTTGCCACCCGATTAATTGAGCTCCATAGCCAAATGGCCTGTGTTTTCTTACCCGTGAATATTTCTAACATAGTCTTGGTGTTTTGGGAACTAGGGGAAGTATTTGTTAAGTTTAGATAATTTTTGTAGGAGCCATTTTTGGCACTGTTCCTATGCCCCAAATGGGGTAAGAGCAGTCACTTTTTAGGAATTTGATATTTTCGAGGATTGCATTGTATGCATGGATTCACTTTGAATTAATGAACTTTAATTGCTATTTTTCCTTGGTGAGGCCGAGATTAGAATGGGGTAACGTCTAGTGAGAATCCGAAAGGTGGAAAAATAATATAGCTAGACCTCTTGCCTTGCGAAAAAGAGAATGGGAGCCCCTGTCAAAAAGCGTAAGATGAGACTCGGGTATCTTTCGAAAGAAACGGCGTTCTCGTGCCAACATGACAAGGAAAACTAAACTTAATTAATGAACTTGGAGGCTATTGCAAAATTAGATTTAGTCCTCCGCGTACTTCAAGTATACGTCAAAGCACAAATGTGTCGCGATGGTTTAGCTTAGTTGTACACCATGTCTACTCTTTGCATAGGGTTAGATGATTGTTCCTAATTTGTGGCCCACTAAGTTCTTTGATCCTAAAAATAGCCCCGAAATTCCTGAATGCATTGAGTCTTTGTTAGAGTATTCCAAACTCTCAAGAAAGGAACTGTTTATTCTTACCATTCACCCTTCACCACCGTCTTCACAAGTCCTTCTGATCGGTAGCTAGTTTATTTGTGTGTGCTGTCACCACTTTGAGGATGTTGTGAATAATTTTGTCAAATAGTTTAGCTTGAGTACAAAGATGTAGTTTAGGGATGAATTTTCTTGGTTTAGACTATCTGTTTTGTGAATATCCCTTTAACTACGTATGCATGCTAATTGTTTTAATTCCGTGTGGTGATTATCGTAAGTCCCGTTGTTCGGTTTGCTTGAGGACAAGCAAAGGCTTAAGTGTGGGGGAATCTGATAAGTCCGTATTTCGACACACATTTGATGTGTGTTGAGATCGGCTTTTGATGGTTTTCCTAGCTTTAAGGTGTTGCAAGTCTCAATTTTAGCTCAAGTTATGTTTACGAGGCGTTGGTTCGAGTTTTGTGTCATTTGGAGTCAAAATCAGGAATTTTGAGTTCGGCCCCGGCGCTTAAGGAGCAATCGGGATGATTTGAGATGCCTTCGAGAGTGGATTGAGAGATTTGGAGGTCACCGGGAGGTTCACGATGAAGATTTGATGGCAAAAGAGCTCTAGGATTGGTTATGAGATCAAAAGAAGATGAATGAAGCTTGAAAACGACGATCAGGATGACCTTTTGTCAATCGTTCAAGCATATCTCTTTGTAGAAACCACCAATGGACACGATTCAAGTTCCATATGAAATATAACTTCAAGGTCTACAAAGCATATGATCAGAATACACCTTTGCGAGAATCTGAGCGAAAGAAGGTGAAAACATATGATGAAGTCAGATGATCTTTGCTGCGATTTCAGAATGATACCCTCAACCATTTTGATCATATCTCTTGATTGGATGATTCAAATCACATTCTGCAAATTGGAGTGGATAGAAGACTTCATTATCTACAACTTTCATGAAGGAAGAATTACCAAATTCGGAAGTTAAGTAGGCACTATCGTGCCCTCAAAGTCAGGCACGATCGTGCGTGAAGAGAAAGCACCGCGGAGTTACTGCCATCCAGGCACGATCGTGCCTGCCCAAAATGCGCGTTTTTGCTCCGGAGGCACGATCGAAGGCACGATCGTGTCTGGCACCGTGCCTGCCTCTGGAGATCTCAATTCAGCTCAAATTTGACCCAATTTTTCTATTTAAACAACCTGTAAACCCCCGTTTTCGAGGGGGAACTTAGAGAGACTGCCTAGCACGAATTTTATAGGGCTTTTCAGCCTTGTTCATCAATCTTTTGGGATTCTTTGTAAGTTCCATCTTTTTAATTAATGAAAATTATTTCTATTCATCCCAATTCTGTTGATTCTTCAATTATGAATTGTGAGTAGTTTAATTAGGGATTTGGGATTGATGAAGGGGTTAATCATGATGTATGGCTAGATTCCTTTCGGTTTAATTGCATGAATGTCATTTAATTTGTGTTTGAATAATTTAACTGATATCTCATGTAACCTAGATTGCAGCTAGAATTACAATTGCATGTAGTATGAATTAAGAGAGATCTAATTTATTCTAGGACACATTCACACACACTTAATCGTTCGCTAAGAGATTAGTAGCGATTAAGGGGCCGTAAGCTCGCTCGTTTTGGCAATAATTTAGGATCTTGTCGCATGAGAGATCAGCGTGGTCCCCTAAATTATTGTACTCCACGCCGCGAGAGCGGTAAGAACTTAGTAATGATTAGTTGGGCTCAATTAAATTAATTTCATGTAATTAGGCCTGATCTGCTAGAAATCTGGTTACCCCGGAATCTGTGACACCACACCCGAGCGTCCTTGAAATTCAAATTTAAATGCAAAGCTTGTGCATTGAATTTCCATTTACCAAACAATTGTAAGACAATTGTTGTTTTATGTAACGCATATTTGATCATTTTACCGTTGAGCTTGTATATTAGTGATGGGCTTCAAATACATATTTGGGGCCATCTTATTAAACATAAGAGCCCAACATTACGTAAATAATGATACATAACCTTTTGATACAAATTAAGGAAGGTCGAGCATCCCAAACATTATTTTGGGCCCAACCTGCTAAAAATAGTAAGTATTCAAGAAGGGCGTCCGAGGTCCACTCGAGGGTGACCCACATGGCTTGTAGTCCATGAACATAAATACAAAAGTCACAAATAAGTGATAGGATGATTAGAGAAGAATACAAATGCCTATGACCTCATCCTTGACATTATTGAGCTAAATAATGGGAGTATGTTTTTCTTCTATAATATTCATCATGTAAATTATTGGGATGATCACACACATATTGGAGATCAATAATATGATGTAGAGAGTTGACTTGTTCTAAATAAATTAGAATGAGTACAAAAAGACATCTTTTGACAAAAGATAAAATAATAGGATCCATTTTTCCATTTTTGGAAGTATTGGTAGATATTTTGGACCCCATATTGATTGGGATCAATTGGGAAGCACTCCACATGATTTGAGTACCTGCGAGACAAGAAAAATAAGTCAGGAGACTTACCTTGGCCGGACAAGCTGGAGGAGAGCTGCACAAGACTTGATTGGAATCAAACTTGAGACCACCTTGTCAATTTCCGCACAAATCATAGGTGTGCTTTGTCTCCCTCCTTAAAGGGAGTTGTACTCGTCCAAATGATGTGTATAAGGTGTCCTTGGATAGCCTTTGAAGTATACTTTCATTATTGAGTAGTTGCGGATCAAGAAGAGAGAGCTTTACCGACAATAATCGAGGTTGAGTGAACCGCTGCGTATAAACTCGAGCAGTGGGAGTACTGGTGTTGTTTGGTTCATATCTCGAGTTATACTAATCCAAATCAGGTGTGTGAGGTACCTGCGGATAGATCTCAAGACTAGGAATCCGGGAAGGTCTGGTTTGCATCAATCGGAGTAGTGAAAGGCTTCCAAATCGTCCGAGAAAAACACAACCTCGCAGAAACGGATCTACTCTTCTAAAGTGAGTTTCAACCCCAAAAACCTTTCCTTTCGTTTTCCAAATGATATGAACGATTGGTGAGGCTATTATAAACTACTCCAATTGTATGATATGTCCTTATAAAGTTATTTTATTGATGTAAAGGTTAGATACTAACCTAGAGCAAATCATGGAAAAACTAGGAAACGTGTTCGCCGGAAAACACCCATTCTAGGGGCTGTTTTCGTATCAACGGATAGGGGTTGAGCTATCACTTTGGGGAGTCTGTTTAACACTCATTTTTAAGCAAGGAATCAGTTCTTAATCCACCTTGGCTGAGGCTTTGGTCATTGGATCGAGAAGGGAAGTTTTAAAGCTCATTTGAGGTGAGGATCGACATCTAATTGCTTACAACTTGTAGGTTAAGCATGAGATTACCTAAATGCCTAAATCATGATTTTTCGTGGATTATGGTGCCTAAATATTGATGAAAAGATGGATATAGTTGACAATGAATGAAATTGTAAATGATTTGAGGTTGTATGGATAATATGAGATTAAATGAGTTATTAATGAACTATTTTGTGAAATAGGCATTTTACTCATGTATTAAATATGTGGATACATAAATGGATATTTATGTATTGAAGTTGAATATTTTAGTTGCTGCTACATACTTATAAATATGTAGAGAATTACAAAATGAGGATATTTGTATGATGACAATAATCTTAATAGTATTGAAATACTAGTTAGTGATTATTTGAAATTGTTGATAGAATTGATCCTAAGTATTGGATTGTATGAAATGCACTTGAATGTACTTCAAGTGTATAAAATGACTTAGTATGAAGCTAAGGGTAAGTTATGGGCAGTCATTTAAGATGACCCAAGGTAGATTATTGAGATGTCAATTCTAGGCATAGGTTTGCTTAGGAATTGGACTATAATAAAGAATTTGAGTCGGACTCTATGATTGCATGGAAACGTAGTTGGGCCGAGCCCTTGCCATGTAATTTTGATTTGCATGGAAACGTAGTTGGGCCGAGCCCTTGTCATGTAAATTGTGACTTGCATAGAAACGTAGTTGGGCCGAGCCCTTGCTATGCAAATGTGATAGGATGTACTTGACATAAAGGATTGCATAAAAATGTAGTTGGGCCGAGCCCTTGCTATGCAATGGTAATGTGATGAACTCTATGAGTTGTCGTGACTAGTAATCACGGGGAATGGGAAATGGTGATTTCTAAATAAACATCGGCCTACGGGCCGACTACTTGACTTTGATATAAAGTAAGTATATTTTTAAATGGGGTAACTTGTGGTTACAGTCATATCGTACTATCACCCTATTTGAGGGTCATATGTTTGAAATACTTGTTGTATATCCCTTAGATGCCATCCACACCAGTACTTTATAGCCCTATAGAGTACTGACCCCTTCGGGGGCGTCCCACCACCATTTCAGGTTGAGGCTAGAGCTTGCTTCCTGTGCTCGTTGATCGAGTGATTTCCCGGAGAGAAAACTTGGTTCGTGCTTCCTCCATTCTGATTTGAACACTAATAAATTTGCTCATGGATATTTTACTTTAGAGCATGCGTGCTCCTGTTTTCCCCATGTGGCATTTGATTTCAAACTATGTTTTCCGCTGCGTATTAAATTACTTATTATGTATGTTTATGCATGACTTACGTGTGAATGATATTCATGATGCCTTGTATAATATGGATGTGTTTGACTATGGTTGACTATTCGTATTGTACGACGGGTTGTTGGCGTGTCCGGGTAGGTCCGGGGCGTGACAGTTTAATTGGTATCAGAGCCTTAGTCCATAAACTTCATAATGAAGTCTCCAAATTCTCTTTTCAAAATGATTTTGAAAACCATGAGCATAAATGTTTTGTACTTGTAGAACTTTTGGTACTTGAGTTGCAGGGTCTCTAATTGTTAAGATGGTACCCTTAACAATTGGTATGACAGCAATTTGAGCCAAACGGTGTCTTAAGTACTTGTCTGTCAATTGACATTTGATACGAGTCTAATGACTCTTTCCAAAATTTCCTTCAGAAATGGACCGTGGTGGCAAGGTTACTAGGAGAAACCTGACGGGCCGTGCACCGGTGGAGACTGGGCAGGGCAGTCGTAGGACCTCTAGGGCATCTAGAGGAGCGGGCCGTGGAGGCCGATCACAGACCGTGAGCGACGGTCATGTGAACATCGAGAGTGAGAACTACTGGTCCCATGAGGACTCGACATATCAACTGGAAACCGAGCCAGTTGAGACCCCTTATGAAGGGGATGATGATGATGTAAGCAATGAAGAGGAGGGAAACGACTCCTTAGCACGAATTGAAGCGCTACTCCAACGGTATCGCCGTGAGCGTGAGGAAAGGAGGGAACGCCGAGGGCGCCGAGCTGAGCAACCTTCGGGCGGAGCTTCAAGAGGAAGAAGCCATGGCGACTCTAGGGCCCACATTGAACCACATGGGGGCCGAGGTGATGGAGGTCCAATCATAAGGATCTTCAAATACATCAAAGAGGCACGAGACTTGGGGTGCAAACCGTTCGATGGAACGGGTGACATCTTTATTTTGATTTGAACACTAATAAATTTGCTCATGGATATTTTACTTTAGAGTCTGCGTGCTCATGTTTGCCCCGTGTGGCATTTGATTTCAAACTATGTTTTACGCTACGTATTAAATTAATTATTATGTATGTTTATGGATGACTTACGTGTGAATGATATTCATGAAGCCTTGTATAATATGGATGTGTTTGACTATGGTTGACTATTCGTATTGTACGGCGGGTTGTTGGCGTGTCCGGGTAGGTCCGTGGCGTGACAGAATCGATCCTTGTTCCCTTCGTCATTAATTAGAAAGAACCCCTAGTTTAATTGTTTTATTCGCATTAGTTTTATTTTCCAAACCAACCAATCTCGCACGACGCATTTATTTTATTTATTTTTATCGCTGAATTTAATTAATATTTGATTCCCTTTTTGTCCGTTCCTGTGGAGACGATACTCGTACTTACACCACTATATTACAATCTTTTTAAGTGCGAGAAAACTCACATCATAGACTATGTCAAGTTTTTGCATAGAGATAGATGACAATTTCTATTGAGTGTCTTGCTGAATTCTTTGCTCCTAGAAATATCCCCGAAACCCCCAAAAACATTGAGGCGATGTCAAGTTGTTTCAAACTGTCAAAGAAAGGATCTTTTCACCATTCACCTTCACCTTCACAAGTCCTTCACATCAAGAGCAAGAATATTTGTGTGTGTTGCGTTGACATCAAGGATGTTTTGATATTTTTTGTCATTAATTTTAACCAGTGCACAAAGAAGTTGTTTGGGGAAGAGCTCGCTTGAGTTAGCCTGTTTTTTATGTACATATACTTTTGATTACCTGTGCGCCCTGATCTTGCTTGATGTCGTGTGATGATTATTGTAAGACCCAAGATTCAGTTTGCTTGAGAACAAGCAACAGTGTAAGTGTGGGAGAGTTGACAATTCCATATTTCGACACACATTTTATGAGTGTTGGGATTGAGTTTTTAAGTTTTCCTAGCTTAAATGTGTTACAAAGAACCTAATTAGCTCAAGCCATAGTTTACTGGGTTTTGGTTTGCATTGGTTGTTTTTACGGTTAAAATCATGAATTTCAGCCTGACATCGACTTCGAAGAATTTCTTGTGAAGACTTCAGATACGTTCATGAGTTGTTGAGAGAGATCAGATGTTCACGAGACGGCTAAAGAGGTCAAAGAATGAATTCGGGATCGTTTGGGATCGAACGGGGAATAAAAGAGCTAAAAAATAATGGTCCAAAAGAGGTCTGCACACCGTGTTCACGTTGACCAGAGCTTATAGAGAGTGCTTAGGACAAAATTTCGAGAGGTGTTAACCTAGGATCTTTAATATTTTGGGATAATTTGTAAGTTCTATTTTTTAATTAATGACAATTAATTATTTCCTTTTCAATTCTATTGATTTGTCAATTATGAATTGTGAGTAGATTTAATTAAGGATTTGGGATTGATGAAGGAGCTATTAATCATCATCCAGGGTTTGTTCCTTAGGGTTTAAATGCATAATTATTTATTTAATTTGTGTTTGAAATTTTGAATATTTTAATTGATATCTTTTGTAGCCTACAACTGCAACTAGAATTATAATTACACATACAACAATTTAAGAGAGGTCGAAATTATTCTAAGACACTTCCACACACCTAATCGTTCGCTATGAGATTAGTAACGATTAGGGAGCCATACACACGCTCGTTTTGGCAATAATTTAGGAACTTGTCGCATGAGAGATCAATCTGTTTTTTTTTTTTAATTATTGTACTATACGCCGCGAGAGCGGTAAGACCTTAGAATTGACTAGCATTGCTCAATTAAATAATTTTCATGTTTATAAGTCTGCTCAGCCCCCAAATTTGGTTGCCCCCAAAATCAATCCTCGTTTCTCTTATGTCATTAATTAGCTAGAAAGAACCCTTTAAATTAGATTTATTTTCTTCGCATTATCAATTTCCAAAAAAACATCAAAATCTCGCAGATTCGCATTTATTTTATTTATTTATTTTTAATCGCTGAATTTATTTAATACCCGGTTCCCTTTTTCGTCCCTTTGGAGACGATACGATACTCGTAGTACTAGGGGCGGAGCCAAGGGCTCGTTAGGGTGGCCAGCCGACCCCGTTGAAAGTTCGATAATATAGAGCTCTAAATTACCTTTGATTTGATATAATATGGCCCCGTAACTCATTTCGAGTAAAAAGTTATGACTTCTGGAAAAAATCAGCATCCGAACTGAGCAAAATTTTATGTGTGATATTCATTATATTCTTAAATTAAAAACAAAGCGCCTTATTCACTCAATAATTGTGTGAAGTTTTCAATACATGACATATATATCTACACAATAACTGAATAGGTCTCATTAAATTAGCATTTATCTCAGCTACATATGAAACAATTAACTTAAGTATTGTTTAATCTATAACTATCTTCCATTTTGATATTGTATATAATTGAATTCCGATCTCCCTCACACGTTATTCTGGCTCAGCCACTTCTCGTACTAAAACCCTTAACTATTACATCTTTTTAAGTGCGAGAAAATCACATCAGATCCATGCGACAGCCTCCTCTGCCGCGAGGGACATACGCCGGCAACTACTGGCTAGCGGCACCAGTGGCTCCAAAAGCTTGATGAGCCCCTGTGTGTTCCTGCTGACGAAGAAATAATACACGCTCCTCTTTCTCAAGCCTTGAATGTAGGATGTGAAAAGGAAAATTTTCAAGAAACATCATGATAGTGGTAACCAAGGATTTATATTTTGAACCTAATACTCCAGTAAACCCTTGTCACACACATGGGAGAGTTAATAGGAATAATAGCAGCTAGGGAATCAGCCAAGGTCTTGATATCTCGCAAATAATGTTTCATAGTTGGATTTTTCTTCTTTTTTAATATGAGATCACAAACGCTTGAATTCCATAAAATAGGTTAAACCGGAAGACATAAAGTGCTTATGCAGCCGTTCCCAGATATCAAAGGAATGTTTGACATCAAGTACATCGACCACGGAATTACGGGAAAGCGTGGGAAATAATCAAGAACGGATTATTTGATCCACTCGTAACCAATGATAGTACTTGGTATTAACAATCGGGAAAAGGAACAAATAAGTCCTCGAACTACCAAAAAAGTGCAAACCACCCCTTATATATAGGAGGCTATGTCCGGCCGTCGTCATTTAGGGAGGTTCCCGGTGGAATTTTATGATGAAATTTTTTTAGGATCTTCTTCATTAAGTTTAGTTCACCCATACCAAATTTCAGCTAAAATTTCAACCGGGAAGAGAGTCAAATGAATTTTTGAAGATAACTGCGCAGTTAAACAGCGCAATATATTTCAGAAAATCATTTGGCTAACTTCTCGGTTTTATTTTTAGCTGAAATTTGGTATGAGTCAACTAGACTTAATGAAGAAGATGTTCAAACAAGTTCATCAAAATATTCCACCGGGAACTGCCCCAAATGACGACGGCCGGACAAAACCTCCTTTATAAGGGGTGATTTGAACTTTTTTGGTTAGTTCGAGGGCTTATTTTCCCCTTTTCACTTAACAATTTGATGATTATTAAAAGTGATTGTGTACATGGAAGGTACCTGAATGGAACCATCAACAATGCTAAAAAAATCCCGAGATAACAAGAATGATTCAAACTAAGTGTGCCATGTGAGATAATTTTCAACTGCTTTAGGTTTAATAGTTACAATCTATGTAAATTGGTGATGTGAGAAACTTATTATGTCAGGGAAGTCATGAGGGGAACCGAAATCAGTAAATTCAGGCGGCCAAGTAACACCTGGGAACAGGTGAATGAGGGCCGAAAAACTATGAACCATGCAGTGATGGAGGAGGCATAATCACAGGAGACGACGGCGTGACACCGGATTGCCATGTAAATCGCAACGGCAGAGAATCAAAGAGAGTATAGGCACTTGTTGAAGTTCAGGACGGTGGCGAGGACATCAGGAATGGAATTTGGTGGTGAGGTGGGGCAAGCAGTTGTGGAAGTTGATGCATAAGGAGGTGTGGCACAAGAAGTTGCCAGTTGTTGTGGAAGTTGGCGCGATCATCGTAGAAGGCCGAAGACGAAGTTGTAGCAGACGTTAGCACAGTCGTCAGTCGACACAGACGGCACAGACGAAGAGGTGGAAATCGTGGTTGACGTCAACGACAAAAAACCTGCGGTGGACGACGAACTGGAAGCAACGACAATGTGCATGATTGCGGAGGCCGAATGCTAGGGTTAGGATAACTGAAAAATTATGTATGTGCTCTTCATACCATGTGAAATAAACATGTCTCCAATAGGAGCCCTGACAGATGTACTTGTAATAATAGAAGAAATGCGCCTACAGTGAGTAAAATAAAATTGATATATTTACAATAGGTAATTGTAAATTAATTTTGTGAATAAGATTGTTATTTTCATGATAAAACTACTGCTCCCTTCGTCCCAAATTGATGGTCCTATATTTTTTGGATTAAATATTATTAAAGTGGGGTAGAATGACTCATATAATGTTACTTTATTGCATTGTTCACTCCTTTACTTTTACTATTCATAACAAGGAGATGTATAGATGGTAATTTACTTTAGTTCCGTACCAAAAAGAAAAACTAGACTATCATTTTTGGACAGCCCATGCCAAATAGGAAATACATGACCATCAATTTGGGACGAAGGAAGTATAAATAAATACAACAGTACGTACTAAGTTTGTAACTTTGTATACAATGATTATATATTATGTGTATGAATTATGTATGTATTATGTTAGAAATAAGTGAGTACAATATTTTAAAAAGTGTCCATTAATATGGCATTATAAAATAACCACAATAAAAACTCTCAATATGTACAAATATACCATGAGGTTTTTTCAAAAAAATTACTAAAATAAAATTTATTTACATAAATATAACTAATAGCTACTACAATGTAGTGTCATGGTAACTCAAGTTTAAAAATTGAACATCAGTACTATGACTTTTACTCCAATCACTAGTAACATTTTTATTAACAATCTTTATTTTAGTCATACATGTGTAATTATTTTTATAC